CAGCACAGTGCCCCAACCCTGCAGGATATCACCCCCAAGTTGGCATTTAGTTGAGCCCAAGAGGTGGTTACAGTACCCTATAGGGCTGGCAACTTCTGGGGATGTGGTACGTGGTAGAACTAGTGGATCCTGTGGTGCTGTGCCCACTGTTGCCTCGCCTTCACCATAAAGTGGATTTTATGATCTGAGGGGATGTTATGAGGGGCCTCAAGTCAGTAGATCAGATACTAGGTGTGCCCTTGGAGGTTCTCTAACTCAGTCTTCTAATAAGCACAAAAACAGCAGCAGCTAACATTGATTACAATCTGCCTAACATCATTCCAGATGCTTTACATGGATTACATCATTTAATCCTCACAACAAACCTACGAAGTAGACACTATTATCAGCTCCATTTTACAGATGAGGAAACTGAGGCTCCAGAGTGCTTAAGTCCCCTTGTCTGAGATCACACCCTAGGAAGTGATGGAGAGCCAAGATATCTACGCGGATGATTCCAGGCCATACTGCCTGCTTGATAAAACCAGAAAGGAGAAGTGCCTCGCCCAGGTCCCTGCCACGGTGACAACATGAAGAAGAGGCTGGTGAAGCCCTGTCTCCATCTGGGACCATCTCAGTCTTTGATGTAACTGATGTTTTCTCTATCTTCCCTAAAGCACTATACAAATACAACTGCAAAGCAACCCATGGCCATGGTTTCCTATGGGATTGCCCAGCTAAACTCCTAGAGATATTCTGGAGCTGCCAGCCTGATGCAGAGACCCAGATCTCCCTCCTTGAGCCCCAGTTCTCGCCACTGCACCCCGGAACAGAGAGTATCTTGCTTCCGAATTTACTAGACTGTGAAGTGAATTCAAGCCTCTTCAGGGAATGAAAAGTAGTGAGCGTAAAAACGTTCCCATTCATACAGCGGCGGTCTCACTGCTTTGATCCTTCTTCTGTTGTTATAAAACTCAGTTTCTGAGCTCGGTGACACTCAGTGTTTTAAAATTACCTCCACTGATTCCCAAAAGGCCTGAATATAACTTTTTTCGAGCTCCTGGTATGTTCTCCTGCCAGTCTGCTCATGGACAGTTTTCTCCACCTGGGGCTGCGGTGCTGGTTATAGGGCAAGGCCAGGGTGAGTCCTACCTGCATACACCTACAGGGCTCCACAGAATTTAGACTTCAGCAGACAGGGCTGGATGACCCCTGCCGTCTTTGTGCCCCTTTTGTTTACATGATTGGGAGGTGGGCTGGTGGAAGGAGGTGATGAACTGAGGCTGTCTTCAGATCCTGGGAACTGGGTCTTGATAATCCAAATCACTCTCCTCTTAGAGAAGTGCAGACAGCCCCTCACAGGAGGGAAGAAAGTCCTGAATTTGTTGTATTTGCCTAAATCCAGCTGCGAACTCTGTTGGCCCTACTTTCAGGATACGTCCAGGGTCCAGTCACCTCTCATCCTCGCCTCCATCGCTGCCTTCTAGTCCAAGCCATCACATCTTTCCTGGATTATTGCAACAGCCTCCGCACTGGTCTCCCTGCTTCTGCCCTTGCCCTAGTACTGTTTATCTTCCAGAATGAGAGCAGCCAGACAGATCCTTTTAAAACCTAAGTCAGATCATGTCACCCTTCAAACGGCTTCCATCTCATCTACAATTAGAAACCCAGGTCCTTACATGGCCTGCAGGTCCTACTGCCTGCTCCCTCTGACTCATCACCTCCACTCTTCCCTCCACTTCCGGCCCTAGCCACACACTGGTCCGCTGGGCGTTCCTCACATACACAAAGCATGTTCCTGCCCCAGGGCCTTTGCACTCACCGTTCCCTCAGCCCGAACACCCTATTTCCAGATCTTCTTCTTCACTTTATTCCCGTCTTTGCTTCAATATCACCTCATCAGAGAGGCCTCACCTCACCACCCCCTTTAAATAACCCCCCACCACTTTATTCCCTCACCTTGCTTTCCTCTTCTTCATAGCACTTATCACTACTGGACATTATATTATAGATTTTTTTTTCCCCACACTTTTGTATCCTTGGTGCTTAGTACAGTGTCTGACACATAGTGCAAAATATTTGCTCAGTAAATATTTGTTGAATAAATAAATGAATGACTTATTTAGTTCAACAGAGTCCTAGAAACTCTGAGCATCAATTTCCTCAGCTGTAAAAAGGAGGTGAAAGGGATAATTGGATGTGAGAACATTTAACTATTTAAAAAATTAAACTTATTAATTTAGAACTTAAATGTATTAAATTTTAAAACTTTTTGTTTTGAAATAATTTTGGACATACAGAAAAGCCGGAAAAATAGTCAAATAATTCATCAACAGTCCTCAAATGTTAATGTCTTATCACATTTGCTTTATCATTCTCTCTCTTTGTATATGTACAAATTATTCTTAAATTTATTTTTGAAGCTGTAATATACAGAGATGGTACAAAGTGTAACACATGTAAAAAGTAAACAGTGAAACATAAATCTCCCTCCTTCTCCATCGCATCTCTTCCTCTCTCCAGCCCAACTGCTATCAGTTTCTTGTATATTCTTTCAAAAATATTCTAGGCATTTACAAGCGTATAGGAATATGCGTGCGTGTTGTTGTTAGGTGCCGTCGAGTTGGTTCAGACTCATAGTGACCCTGTAGGACAGAGTAGAACTGCCCCACAGGATTTCCAAGGAGCAGCTAGAGATTTGAACTGCTGACTTATTGGTTTGCACCTGAGCTCTTAACCACTGTGCCACTAGGGCTCCGTGTGTGCATATATATTGCATAAATATAACACATTTTTTTTCTTCATATGAAACACACTCTACTTGAAATGGCAAATGTTTTGTTATCTATATATTTACTATAATAAAATACAAAACAAGACAAACAAACCCACTATAGTCACAGTTCCACATTTTACTTTTTCCATTCAGTAATGTATCTTGAAGATCATTCTATATCACTACACTTAGTCTTTCTCATTTTCTTTATAGCTACATAGCGTGTCTTGTATGGATGTATCAGAGTTAATTTAACCAGTTCTCTATTGATGGAAGTTTGGGCTGTTTCCAATCCTTTCCCTACTACAGACAATGTTATAATGAATATCCTTTTATAGTATCATTTTGTACGTCATTTGTAGGACGAACGGCTAAAAGTGAAATTACTGAGTCAAAAGCATTTTGTGTTTTAAGTATTGATAGGGATTACCACATTTCTGTTCATAAAAGGTGTACCAGTTTGTATTCTTAGCAACAATGTGTGAAAGTGTTTGTTTGCCTACTCCTTTGTAACACGGTGTGTTATTTATTTATTATTATGTTTTACCAATTGCATAGTTGAAAATATCTCATTGTAGTTTTATTTCTATTTCTCTTATTATGAGCGAAGATAAACATTTTTTCTGTGTCTAAAAACCATGTGTATTTCTTTTTCCATGATTTGTCTACTTACATACGGCGCCAATTTCTCTATTGCATTATTGCTTTCTTATTGATCTGTAGGATCTCTTCATATACAGAGGAAATTAGCTTATTCCCCTGTGATATGTGAATATTTTTTCACAGTTTGCCTTTTTTTTTTGCCATTCAGTCTTTATTTATTTATTTATTTTTACTGTACTTCAGGTGAAGGTTTACAGAACAAATAGTTTCTCATGAAACAGTAGTACACATATTGTTTTATGACATTGGTTAACAACCCCACGACATGTCAACCCTCTCCCTTCTCGACCTTTTTTTTTTGGTGAAAATATACACACTCAGTCTTTTTTTTTTTTAATTTTTATTTCTATATAGTCAAACACCTTGATCTTTTTCTTATATGGCTTCTAAGGCCTTGTGATATACATGAGAAGGTCTTACTCATTTCAAGATTATTTTGGAATTATCCCTTGATTTCTTATGATATTTTAATTCATTTTTAAAACTTTTATTACGGAAATGTTCAAACATACACAAAAGCAGAAAGAAGACTATATCAAGCCTGCAAAGTCTTCATCAGCTTCACCAGTGATCAGAATAAGGCCAGTCTTTTTCATCTATGCCCTACTCATTCCCCACCCCTTGATTATTTTGAAGAAAATCCCAAACATCATATAATTTTATGATTTTTAAATCCTTAAATCACTTTGAATTTTTTTAGAGGTAGATCTCCAACTTTGTTTTTTACAGATATCTAGCCCATTCTCCCAGCACAGCTTATTGAAAAAAAACAACCAAAAAAAACTTTTCCCCACTGATTTGCACTTTTAGCATATCCTAAATTCCCATACATACTTGAGTCTATCCTTGGATTCTTTATTCTGTTCCACTGATTTATCTCCTTATTCATGCTCCAGCACCAGGCTGTTTCTACTGTTGTAGCTTTACGATGTATTTTGGTATCAGGTAAGATACCTGTATCAGTTGCCATTGAGTTGATTCTGACTCATGGTAGAACTGTGCACCACAGGGTTTTCAATGGCTAATTTTTCAGAAGTAGATCACCAGGCCTTTCTTCTGAGATATTTCTAGGTGGACTTGAACCTCCAACCTTTTGTTTAGCAGCTGAGCACATTTACCGTTTGCATCATCCAGGGACTCCACCAGATAAGATACTTTCTTCAAAAGATGATTTAGATGTAAGCTTCTCCTGGTATTTTAAGACACTGCCTGAGAGTGAGGACCTGAGGTATGACAGATGTGCAGTTAACCCAGGATATTCCAGCTTTGCTCACAGCTGTGCCCATCAATACTCTGGCTGGGACAAAGTGTGCCATCACCCTGGCAACCAGAAGCCTGGGTCCAAATTCTGGTTTTCCAATAAGGGTGCCCTTGAGCAGCCCACCTCACCCTTTGGAGCCTCTGTTTAGAAGGACCTCCCTCCAAGCTCCAACATTCTCCAGTTCCAAGATTTTAGGGCCAAGGGTGCCTTGGAGGAGCCAGGAAAGATTGTGGTCTCTTCAACAGGAAGTCCTATAGATTAACCAAGGAGATTGGCTTGCTGGGGACCGGAAAGGGTGATTAAGCAAGAGACAAGACTGTTAACAGTTCCAGAGCTCGAAGGCTCATGGGAGCACCAGGTCCAGGAGGCACGAGGCTATGCACAGGACCAGGAGACTTTGACAGGTGGGAGTCACCCCAAAGTTGCAATGCTTCTTTTCTCTGGAGGGGTAGGGATGGGGAGGGAGCAGCAGTCCCCATCTAGCTCCTGCGATGAGAGTACAAAGGGCCGAGCCCTCTTTCCTCATGAATTTGGAGCCCTCTGCATGGCCTAATGGAGGGCATTGGGGCAGGGGACTGGGATAGATGACCTATCCTTAAATGGCTGTGTGACTTTGAACAAGTCAAGTGTCTCCTCAGAGCCCTTGGTTTCTCTATCAGTAAAGTGGGAGAATGCGGAGGGTAGACTAGAATAGGGTACTAGGTGGTCTCTCAGGCCCATCCGGTTTCAACAATTTGGGTTCTGGGAACACTGCTATTTTTCATAGTGTTGAAGTAAATGAAGTGAAGAGCAGACTCAGTTCCTAGCCCCGTGGGTGAGAGAGTGAAGAAGTTGGGGGAGGCCCTCAGACACCTGCAGATGCCATAATTCCACTGCTGCCCTCCATCTCATCTCATCCCCCTTTTATGGATCTCCACTCTCTTGGGGTAGGCCTGTGGCACATGCTCCTTTAACCTAATCCCACAGTGGCGAGCTGATTCCTGTAGATGCCTGGGAGTGGGATTCATTTGCTTTCAAGTTTGACTTCAAATTTTGTGTGATTTCTTGGGCAAGGAATGTGGGAAGAGGCAGCATGCTGAGGGGCTGTGTGTATGCATATTCCTGGCCATGAGGGGATTTCCAACTGTTAAGGGCATGAGGTAGCAATTAACGACTGAGGGGAATGTGGCAGAGGAGAGGGGATGCTGACAGAGTGGGTACTCTTGCTGGCTGAATGAAGGGTGTTCTGAGTGACTTTGAGTGGGCAGTGACTACATGTGGAATGTCTGAGTGGGGTGCTGTGACTGGGAGAGAGCAGACTGTCCCAGGGGTGTGCTGACCGTGAGGGAGTGGGAGTCCATTTCAGCAGACTGTGTGAGGGTGATGACTGACTGAGTGGGAGCTGACTGAGGAGAGAGGGGGAGAGAGTGTGTGTGTGCGTGCGCTGACTGACTGAAGGGTGTCTCCACGGTCTCTGAGTGGCCATGCCTGGCCATGAAAGGGGCAAAGATTATTTTTATGGTATGCTGTAAGGCCATGAGGGGTGCTGTGACTGATCTGAACATGAGGAAGCAGGGGTGTATACTGTCCTGACTGACAATGACAGGTGTTCCAACTGACTTTGAGGCAGTGCTGGCTGTAGTGCACTTGCTGACTGGGTGAGGCTCCAGGCCTTTCTGCCCCAGACCTTCTGATAGACAAGCAGGAGGCTGCCGAAGGACCCTCCTGGGAGAGAAGGATTGACTGACTGAGAGGGCTTGTACCGGAGGTGGCGAGTGGGGCTGGGTGAGGTGTCTAGAAGGTGCTGTGTTCTTATAAAATGCCAGGGGACTGCTGGGAAGGGGCTGTGGAGGTGCTGCTCTGCTAGGAACTTCCCTAAAGAGATACTAAGAGTGCCCCATGTTGACTCAGACTTCCTGGAGCCGTGAAGGTTGGATGAAGCCCTGAAACTATTGCCCTGAGATAATCTTTAAACCTTAAAACAAAAATATCCCCTGAAGTCTTCTTAAAACCAAACGATAGTTTAGCTTACTAGTAAAAAATGTCTGCCTTGAGCGTGATGGTCTTTTAAGAACTATCTATATGGGATCAAATTGACAACAGCAACTTGAAAAATTAGATAGGAAACTTAGGGGATAATAAATTTATGTTAGTGGGGGAGAAGCAACTCAGAAAAGGAGGGTGAGAATGGTTGCACAACTCAAAGAATGTAATCAATGTCACCAAATTGTACACGTAGAAATTGTTGAATTGGTGTATGTTTTGCTGTGTATATTCTCAACAAAACAATAAAATAACATTAAAAAGAAAAAAAAGAGTGCCACATGTCCTGGATGAGGCCACAGGAAATTTATTTCAGGATTCTAAGTCCCCTCACTTATGGGAGGCTGACAGACTCAGCAGCATGGTGCCCACATCATAGTGGACGCTTCCCCCAGAGCTTGGGTTCTGGAGGCTTCCGTACTGGGAATCTTATCTTGCTGCTTCATGTGGGTTACCTCCATTGCCGGAAGTATGCATGAAACTGCTCTTAGAGACCATGCCTGGGTTTCACCACACTGAGCAGGGCCTGCCCACTTCTGCCCTGCTCCAAATTTCTTGCCCCACCCACAGCTGCTCAGCTGGATGTCAGTGATCCACAAAGGGCCTTCTGCCCACTGAGAAGTCCACTGGGGAAAGTCTATTCCATGACAAACGGGGAGGGCAGGATCTAGTGTCAGTTTTGCTACTGATGTCATGGCTCGGGCAGGTCACACTCTGCCTCTCTGAGCTTCCTTCAGTTTCCTCATCTGTTGAGTGGGGATAAATTGTACCTGTACAATACTCAGTTATTATGAGACTCACGTGGCATTGCACCCTTATCAATGTCATCACCACCATTGCCATTGCTACCTTTACCCAGCAGTCACTGTATGCCAGGCATGGTCACTAGTACTTTACATGCATTACACATTCAACAAATATTTGTTGAGCACCTACTGTATGCCAGGCAGTCTTCTAGGCATTTGGGATACAGCAGTTAACAGAACAGGAATCTCCTTACTCACATAAGGCTTATATTTCAGCAGCAGGAGATGAGAAATTTACAAAATCAATGAGTGAAATATTCTACCCTGGGATGGTGACAAGTGCTAAGAAAGAATAAAGACGGAAAGGGGAGTAGGCTGTACTGGGTAGTGGGAGGTGGTGTTTTAATTTTAATGATCTCGTTTAATCCTCACGGCAACTCTGTGTGGTAGGTATTAGTCCCCTGTTCCAGTGAGGAAACTGAGCACAGAGGAGTTAAGTGACTTACCCAAGGACCCACAGCTAGCAAGCAGCAGAGCTGGGAGAGGCAGAGGCCTGTCTGACTCCAGAGGACTATGACTAGAAGCTGTTTCCTCTTTTAGACCTCAGTTTCTACCCCTATAAGTCAAAAGGTTGGGGCTGACCCTCTTCCGGCACTGACTCTTAGTGATTCTTCCTTTGCTTATAAGCCACAAGGCCTCAGCCCCCAAGCCCAGCCCCACTGGCCATTTTCTTTTATGACATTGATATTTTTTAAGAGTCCATTCAGTTATCTAGAAGAACATCCCACATTCTAGGCGGCAGTGTGTCGGTGGGGGAATTAGAAAGTATTTGAGTGCCCTAAACACGCCCAGAAAACAGCTAGGCACCATAAGGGGATCCAGGGTTAAATATGACCCTTCCCCCCTGGAGCTCACTGCTGAGTTTTATCACCCTCCCCAGGAAGCCCTCCCTGGCAGGCCTAGGCAGGTGAGCTGCTGCTTTTTCAGTGTTTTCAGCGCTTGGCACACAGGTCTGCTGCCCCTTCCAAGCTGCGCTGTAATTATTTTTGTCTTCTGAATAAGGCTGTGAGTGCTTCCAGGGGAAACCAGGAGTTAGTCACACCTGTACCTGCAGGGCCAGGTTCTCTGCTTGGGTATGTAGGTGGTGTCCTGCACAAAGGTGCCCTGCTGAAGGGTGAGTGGGGACTGGGATCCCGTCCACATTTCACTTGCCAAACTATGCTCCCTGGCACTGGACACTGTCTGCCAGAGGGAAGGGGTACCTTTTCCTAATTCACTTTAAGTGCTTGTTGCTTGGTGTGTGATAGATCTTGAGAAGGGTTTGTGCAGGAGGGCTTCTCCGAGAGATGTGCTAGTAAGTGTTTAACAACCAGTTCTCAAGTAGGCAAAAGCCTGATGTGCAGCATTTGCCAATTCCCATGGTGTAAATACTCCCACCATGGCTGATTTCAAACCACTGAATTCGCAAGAGATGCGCACAATTGGCTCTCGCGAGCCCCTAAGATCTGGCTCCAGCAAACCACTGTAGCTTAACAGCCATGATCTTAAAACTGCATCTGAATCAAATTTTAAAGTCCCAAAACAGAGAGAGACAGAGAGACAAAGACAGACTCACAGAAACAGATAGATAAAACACAACACACAGAGGGACACTCTACTTCACTTTGAAGTTCTGGGCCTCCCCAGGGCGAAGGAATTGCTTCATCCAAGTCCTGTGCAACCTGCAGGCGGGAACTTACTCAAGGCAAGGCTGGACCAGTGACTCCATCCCCCCTGGAATGAGCCTGTCACTCCTAAAGCAGAGCCCTCTGACCCCTCTGCTCTGCTCGTCTGTGGCCCTTGGCCCAACAGAGCCCAGAGAGGAAAGTTTCCTCCCTCTCCTGGCCACAAGCCTTGCTCTCTGCTGCCTCGGTTCCTCATCTCCTTTAGAGCTCGGCTCAAGACTGCCTGCCCAGGGAAGCCTGCTCTGACCATCAGAACACCAACGCCATCCCACACCCCATCCTATACAGTTGTATATGTACTGAATTTCTTGCCCTCTTCCAGACGCTACCTGCCTTTTCCCTGCCCTGGGGCCTTACCTGGACCAATCCTTATGCATTGACATCTTTATTGATTGACTTACTGACCTAAGACCTTCAGCAACAGATGAAGGGACCCTGATTAATGAATTTGACAACTCTTCCTTGAGTGCCTACTATGTGCTAAGGAACTACGGCACAATGGGGACCAAGGTGCACCGTGACATCCACAGGGGGAGCCCAAGATATCATAAGGCCACAGACAAGGGGGCACTGAACCCAGCTTGAAGTGTGGGAGTGGTTTTCGGGAGGCTTCTGGGAGGAGGCAGCCTCTAAGGTTAGGCCAAGAGGTATTAACTAGGCAAGGAAGTGTGAGCACTGGGGGAGATTGGGGGCAAAGTGCGGGAGGGAACTTGGCATTCTGAGCCACAAGTAGTTCAGTAGGGTTGTGGTTGACCTCAAGGGTGTTGGGGGGTGTGGCATGAGGCAGGCGCCACCTGGTTCAGGGTCTTAGTAGCCCTATGAAGGAGCTACTGATCCCCTGGTACATGTGTTGAAGGAGTGGAGAAACGGTGTTGAGGAGAAAAAACATTGGAGGAGAGGCGAGGGCTGCGAGGGCTGAGAGAGGGAGGAGGCGATGGTGAAGGGATCCCTTCTAGGAAGCCCAGAATCCCTTGTTTTGATGCAGCAGCAACTAAGAAAGTGCATTGAGGGGGGCCACAGGAGAGAGCTCTCAGGAACCTGTTTCTGGCCCTTCACACAGGGAGATCCTGGACTACCCTTTGTAACCACACCCCAGGAGAGAAATAGAACATCTCCTGCTGGGGGGCTATCTTATTTAATGATCAGAGAAGGCTTCGAGCGTTTGAGCAGCGACCTGAAGGAGGCAAGGGTATGAGTCATGTGGATAGCTCCGGGAAGAGCATTTCAGGCAGAAAGAACAGAAAGGACAAAGGCCCTGAGCAGGGTGGGCTGGAGGCCAGTGTGGTGGGCTGGGAGATGAGGTCAGAGGCCAGAGGGGGATGATCAGGAAGATCATTGACAAGGGTGGATTTTCTTCCAGGGATTATGGGGAGCTATGGAGGGTTTTAAGCAGAGAGTGACTTTGTTCAGTGGCCCACTGCCCCCTCACCTCTCCTCTATCCCCAGGGCCAAAGCACCATGGAGAGTGGACAGAGAGTGCCCCGGAAGGCCCGGAAGCTGGGCTCCAGCCGCCGGTGGCAGACACGAGAGCCAGCTGATGGCCAGGATGCTGCTGTGGCCCCAGAGCCAGAATCCTGGTCCTTCCAAGCAGCTGTAGAACTACAGGACTTCTTCCAGGACTGCGGTGCCAAGCAGAGGGGCTTTGTTACCCGTGAAGACATGGCGGTGAGCCCAAGGCCCCATCTCAACCCTGCATCCCCTTTATGCAACTTTCTGAGACTCCCTATCCCAGGAAGACAGGATTACCTGCCCTCTCCCCTTTCTCTTGTCTAAAACCTGCTCTCAGGAAAGGTCAACAACTTGTTTATACTAACGTGTAAATGACTGATAAGCCTTTTTGTGTTACTCACTTCCAGAAGCATTTGCATTTTAACAACAGAAAGGTCTTTAAATCAAAGAAGTAACTTGATAATAGTAAATTTTAAGCCCATTGAGCAAATAAGTTTATCTAGGGGAGCAGTCAGAGACCTGGAAATCAAACCAAGTCGGTGACTATCCACTTCACTGAAACACCAAAATCAATTTTTCTTTCCTTCATCCCTCCTCATTCTCTGTAAAAAGGCCTCTGTGGGCTGCTGAGGTCTCTTGGGCCTACTGCCTCCTCCTGATGCTGCTCCAGGCTCCAGACTTTGTCCTTCCCACCATCAAAACTGACCCTTCCCACAGTCCATCCATCAGGGCCCCATCGTTTAAATCCACAGCAAAGTGCTAATGGCTGATGTTAAAATATACTTTTCAAAAAGGTAAAATAATGACTTTCAAGTAAATGTGTGGTGTTAACTAGTTTATTAATTAATTGAATGATGGGACCAGTAAGATGTCATGACTGGTTCAAAGGGCATTTGAAAAGCTATGATATTTATAGGCAATTTGACAAAGAAGTGTTGAGATTGCCGAAATACATTTTTAAAATGGCTAATGCCTGGGACAGTAAAACCTGTGAAAGCCAGAACCCATGTAAGGCAGAAACCTGTCAGAGAAGGAAAACTCAAACATTTTCCACTAAAACCAGTGATAGGAAAGTGGTAAAACGGCACCCTGTCAAAGGCGGAAAACTTGCGAGACCCAGAAAAACAAGGCAGTCACGTGGTGTTCCGGCTCTTACAGGTTTCACTGTACATAGAGACCAAAGTTTATGACTGGTTACCAGGGGTGGGCGGAAGGGAGGAGGAATGGGGGACTCACTGCTTAGGGGATACTGAGCTTCTGTTAAGGGTGATGGGAAAATTTGGAAATGGATAATGGTGATGGTTGAACAACATGATAAACATACCTAACGTCACCGAAATGTACATGTGAAAAGTGTTGAAAAGGCAAACAAATCGTTACATACACATTTTGTTGTTGTTAGGTGACATCAAGTCGGTTCTGACTCATAGTGACCTCAGGCACAACAGAACGAAACACCGCTGGGTCCTGCACCATCCTCACAATTGTCGCTATGCTTGAGCCCATTGTTGCAGCCACTGTGTCACTCCATCTCTTTGAGGGTCTTCCTCTTTTTCACTGACCCTCTACTTTACATATATATATACATACACATACATA